TTATTTTCATAACAGCGAAGACTTTCAAATGTTAATAGTCGAAAATTTGATGTGACCAGAAAAACTTAAAGTAAGACATTAACGGTAAACGCACGATCTGACCATATTTATCTGAATGCACTAGGGTTCCAATTACAGTAAAATGGATTTTTCACTGTTGAGTGTACAAAGGTCGTTTTACGTTTTGGTTGTTTGATTCTATTGGTATATCATAACTTTCGATTTCGCATACGTGTTAGATAAGTCACGTAATTTAGTCATTTACAATCGAAATGTCCTGAACGCAGGAATTTGGGGCGGTCGTATTTCTATCGCTATCATACCAGGCATATTGTTTTTATACGTTGTAGCAAGTACGTTGCTTTGTCATGCCTTCCATGTCACTTGGATCTACTTTTCAGTCAGTCGTGAGAACCATTGATTGGACCTATAAAGTCTATTGATTTAGTCAAATAGACATGTAAGTAGTCACATACACATAAAAACGATGGTAGACGTTGCCGATTGATCATTCAAATAAGCATAAAATAACCTACTTAACAATGTTGAAGTTTATGCTTTTTCTTGATTGCTTAGCCTCATACAATTTTACGGGAGCAGATGGTTATGCAAGCTTGCCATGTAGACACCTTATAATATTGCCATAAAAATGGTTCTACAAATCCCATTTATGGTTAAATTATATTAAATGAAAATTCTACAGAGCAATGACTACAAGCACTACTTACCAGAGAGAATACATCTGAAGTTGATCTATGAATCATCGTGAAGAGGCAAGTCGTATGCTTTCGCTTTCCGGTTGACTGTTTCCTGCTCAACTTTGAATCACCTCACCATTAATCAAATTTTCACTCAAAGTTCGTGTTCAGACAACATGTGGTCTATAAACTGTTCGAAAAAATGAACGAATTTACTTACGTTTTAATGCCTTTCTTTCAGATGTTGACACATCACAATGGACAGAAAAACAGCTTGCCTTGGATTTGTAGTGAAGTGAAAGTCCACACTGAGTTAAATACAGCATAACTTGTTTGTCATGTCGAGCTTTGATTATTAAGAGATTTCGGTGACTTCATTTATTTTTTATTAAAAACTGAGAGTTTACTCAAAACTTACTCAACCAGAATCCAACTAGCAGGTTTTGTGACTCAGTCAAATATACGATACAGTACATACGTCTTTGTGTGACGCTGTATATTTTTCTCACCCACTGAGGCGGCTTCGGATGAAGTTATAAATCATAACCCTGGGTATTGCACTATTTGTAAAAATAGAAAACAAGAGGGTCTCGCAGTAGTTTGGGTGAAAGTTGTCTACATAAAAAGTGGTACTCCATCTGAATTTTCTAGTTCACCATTCAACAATAACCGATGTTCTTCATATGTCACGAGGCATAGGCCTCTTCTAACAACTAGAAAGACAATTAGTGTAGGTGCCTGAAGTGTCCGAATAATGTGGGAGACCGTGAGGACTAATCAAATATTTATGGAAATATGGTGATACAACTTGGAGGTGCTCGGAATAAGATAAATCCATTGAGATTACATCCAGAAAACGTTCTGTTTCAATAAAGTCATGAAGAAGAAAATGATTATCACACACGAGTTGCACTGATGCTGTACAAAGAAGCACGAAAAGCAATTATAAGATGGAAATGCCATGGATCCAGCATCAGCAAAGCATCCGTCGAAGCAAAGTACAAGGGGATTACGATGACTGATATCCAGTGCTTTATATTCACTAACGATAATGATCAGTTTTACGACAGTGAATTATGGTGAATAGTCCAGAAAAGAACCGAACAATCCTGCTGGGATACCGAAAATTCAACGTTGTAATGGATAACGCGGATATGAAAATATCATAGGACGATATGGACTGGCTTGAAGAGATGAACAAGGGAAGTGAGAGATTCGCGAATTCGCGTGCATTCAACAAAATTCGTATAGGTGGAACAATATTCCCCAACGAACACATAAACAAGCTACTTAAGTCTCATTGAATCACACTAAAGAGAGCTAGATCGATCATATTTGCACCACTAAAACACTCAAAAGGTCAATAGAGAGAGTGAGAACCAGGAAAGGAGCAGACATAACTCCAGATCGCCTGGTAGTTGCCACGATAAAACTGACAGTATGGATATGAGAACCTTATGGAACCATCTTTGGGACTGTAGAGTGAGTGCCTGAGGAGGTCTTCAACACTGTGCGGAATTTACACGACGAACTACACTGCAAAGTGGTGCATGTAGGTCAGTTGACAGACGCATTCCAAGTGAGGACCGGAGTCAGACAAGGCTTTTTACTCACGCCCTTCCTCTTTGTGCTGGTGGTCGATTGGATTCTGTAGACAACCACACCTGATAAGAAGTACGGAATGTAAACGACAGCTTGGATGCAACTAGACGATTTTGACTTGGAGGATGTCCTAACTCTTCGCTGATTCAAATGGTTCAAATGGTTGTGGACGGAATAGAAGAAGCTTTCGCTTAACAGGCTTCCGTGTCTAGTAGCAGGGGATCACTAAATCCTCCAGGCAGGAACCTAGGTATGTTAACAATAAAAGAGGAAAAGAAATTGGTATATCATAGTGTTATGCTGTTCTTGGTCCTTAAGAATAGGTCAAGTTGCCTCTTGAAGGACTCCTGAGAAGTCGTTTGGACTAGCTCGGCCGGCAGCGAATTCCAGCTTTTGACAACTCTTAAGGAGTAGAAGTTGTGTCTACATCCCGTCTTGCTATGTTGAGTTTCCAGCTTCTGGGTGTTCCCCCTTAGGTTATTATTCGAACTAAGCTTAAGTAGACGTTTAAGAGGATGTCCAGAAGTGTTAAGAATACTATAAGCCATTAATAAATCACCTCTAAGATGCCTATACTCTAATGGGTAAAGGTCTAGTGAATGAGGGCGTTCTTCGTAAGGTTTAGATTTGAGTCCTCGAACTGATTTCGTGGCTCGCCGTTGGATACGCTCCAAAGTGACCTTGTCCTTTTGGAGTGAGGGGGGAGTACTATGTTTCCGTACTCTAAATGGGGACGGATAAAACTATTGAAGATTGTATGGAAAGTTCTTCCGTCAAACTGGCCAAAAATGCGCTTCAGTGTTACCAGTGCAGGGTTTGCTCGGAAGACATTTTTGTCACAATTAGCGTAAGACTTTAAATCATGGGGCACCAGGACTCCTAAATCTTTTTCGACTTGGGATACTACTAGAGAGGAGTTTCCTAAGTTGTAACTGTAGTTTGCGACATGTAGCAGATGGACTACTTTACACTTTGAAGTATTAAAGGCAAGTCCGTTATCGTCTGCCCAACTTTGAAGTCGAGTCAGATCCTCCTGAAGTGCCTGCGTATCGTCTTGGTTGCGTATCTCTCTCCAAAGTTTCACGTCGTCGGCAAAAAGTAATAAGTCTGACGTTACCTGTTGAGGAAAATCGTTTATGTAGATCAAGAAGAGAAGAGGCCCCAATACTGAGCCCTGTGGACCCCACTAGGACATTCCATAGCCTGAGATAAGGTGAAATTAACCCTAACCTTAAAGTGTCGATTTTGTAGGTATGAAGTAAGCCAATCGATTAGAAGTGATTTGATACCTAGTCGTTTGAGCTTATTGATAAGACACAAGTGGTTAACCCTGCCAAAAGCTTTTGAGAAACCAAGGTAAATGATATCAACCTTTCCCTTGCGATCGAGGATGCTTGTCCATCTGTCCACCGCAGTCAGCAGGTTGGTTATACAAGAGTAACCCTTCCTGAAACCATGCTCTTGGGGTGAGAAGAAGAAGTAGATAGTCGTTTAAACCATCGCATATCAGGGACTCCATGAGTTTTGAAGGTAATGACAGAAGAGCCACCGGCCGATAAATTGAAGGTTCATTGCGTCGACCCCCTTTGAAAATTGGTGTGATGTGAGCCAACTTCCAATTTTCCGGTAGTTTGCCTCGGCTTAGCGAGTGTGAAAACGCTAAGAGGCGTTGCTAGGATTGAGGCTGCCTCCCTCGGTATGGAAGAATGAACCATATCCGGGCTAGGAGAAGTATCTAGTCTTAAGTTCTGCAGTTTCCGGAACACCAAGTCAGCGCTTAAGTTCACTTCGGAAAGCCTTGTGGAATTGCAGACGAAACTGTCGTCAATAAAGTTGTTGTCAGCCGGCTGAAATGTTTGAGAGTAATGTGCCGCCAGAAGGTTAGCGGCGTCACCATCGTTGTTGGTCGGGCCGTTAAGACCCAGCAGTTGAGAAACTCCTGTTTTGGCTTGACGAAGAGAGGCTGCATAACGGAATAGGCTTCTAGGGTTCGAGGCAAATTTGTCCATAAGCTATGTCTGGTAATGAGGCCTGTTTTCTCTTATAGCCTTCGTGCATATGTTCCTGATATGTTTGTATTGCCTAAACGCTCCGTCGTTATTAGTTTGTTTGTATTCCGCCCAACAGTGCCTTTTACGGCTTAGCAGGCGAAGGGTACGGTTCTTGATTACTGTAGGTGGCTTACAGCTTTTGGGAACCGTTTGAGGAACTGAATGGTTTGTAGCACGTAAGAGCGTGTACAGTAAGAAGTCCCAATGACCGTCCACATCGAGTTGAAGGTGAACATCCCAAACCACCTGTAACAGATAGTTATGTAGAGCTGGCACGTTCAGCCGTTTAAAATTCCAACGCAAATTATTGTTGGGATGCTAAATGAATACTACAACTAAGCCTACAACAGCTTTTATTCTCTCTAACTACCTGTCTTTCTTAATGAATTAACCCGGTAAAGTGCGAGAAGTGGAATATATCTTTTCTTCTAACTATTCGGCTAAGCCATTTTTCATTCATACATCTAAACTCCACATCAAATATATGTTTCCTCTCAAAACTTATGGTATTTATAAATGTTTGCTTTCAGCGTATCATACTTCAAGAGCTTTGATATCAGCAGAACATAGTGGATAGTCAATTCACTGTTTCTCCTCGATAAACTTTTCAGTGTAATTCGTAGTTTGAATACTCTATTACATGCTCAATAGGCAATCTCAGAAGCACATGTTTTGAAGTAATTGTCTACAGTAAACTTAGCCATACATACTCATAGGTAAATGACTTCGTGGTGAACACTATGCAAGACACAATTTCTCAACCGAAGTGGAATAACTATATGAGAAGGCCAAAAGAATTAATTGACAGACCTTTTTGCTTATTATTACTAAAGCTCTAATTCAGGTTAAAGATAACTAATGGATTTATTCCTTTTCTAAAGTCAATTACTAAACTCACTGCAAGTTGCATTTAATAGCATCTCCTTCGGTTCAAAAACTCACCAGTGACATCACTGTAGAGATGCTTGTTCAGAATGAGAGTGTAAAACAAAACAACAATAAAGACGATGATCCCCAGCCGATACGTGCCTCTGTTGAGAAGCAACAGTATCCAAAAAAGAAGTCTGTCCGGAGCTCCAAACATTCTCATGCATCTCGGGGTGGCGATCGTCCTCGTCAGAAATCACTGAATACAATGTTTTGTGGGTGTCTGGTATCCGGATCAGAATGTGGTAATACAATGGAGCATCCCCCACTTGATAACAACCGACGACTTCTTCCTACCAGTGCTATCCAGTCAATGGAATCTCTTAGCATTTCAAAAAATGCAGGTTCACAGTGTTTTCAGCCATCCCAAGTATCTAATGACTCGGGTTCAATTAGACTGCAACCAGTTGTTAACTTACCTTCTTGTGCTCTTATAACAGATGCTTTGCTTTCACAAACCAAACGGGCAAGTACAGTTAAGATAAGTGCACCTTCCAATGGATTAAAGCACTCAGGTTGGCACAGTTTCAGATTTAGTCGTAAAAAGGAGTCAAATTTGTTCAAGACAAAACAACGTGATTCCACGATAAGGATATCCGTTACCAGGCCCTTAAAAAGTGATATTTCCCACCCTGAAGCAGAACAACAATCAGAAACAGTCCAATCCCTTGTGTTCTCACCATTACCAAACCAAGCAGTACTGGAAACAGTAAATTCTGGAGAGGTGAGTTATCTGGATATTTGGTTGTTGCTTTATTCTGCCTATTTAACAAGTCTACTCTACTAGTTAACATTGAGTAATTATTGTCCCCCAATTCACGTAGCTTATCATCTATCTTCAAAAATATGGAACAAGTAAAGTTAGACGTGTATACTTCTAGTCATCTGTGAATTTTACCACAAAATATTGTTTGTATATGGAGTCCAAGCTACTCTTAAATCGTATGATGTTTCTCAAATTAAAGCCAGTGACGCAGACATTATTGTCTGAATATTCATACACCATTTGTTCCCTCGGGATCCTGGGGCCCATTCGTCTGGAATCAGGATTTTCCAACTCTTCTAGGTGGACTCTCCGTGTCCACCAACCTGAATAAAGCGCCGAACAGTCGCTTTTCGTCCTCTCAACTTCATAAATAACACCCCCGCCACCAGAAGGCAGTGAATAGGACCTCCCTGGCAATGGCTGTAATGAGGTAAAATCTAGTACTTTTATGTATCAGCCTAAGTTGCTACTCTTCACACCAGTACAACATAACATAAGTATTGAGAAAAGCAAAAGAATAAAGTAATAACTAGTCGTGAAAAAATGGTGGGAGGAATGTCTTAAGCAACAGATAAAATTTAGGGAGGGAATGAAAGTAAATTAATAATGCTATATTTCAGTTTATAAGAAAGGTGGGAAATGTATTCATCGACAACATTAGCTTATATGCTAGACTATACATTCATTCTGTGCACACATTGTAACCAGGTCTTACAGCTTTTATTTATCTAGGTGTAATAACGAAGTAGCTCGTATATGTAATAGATTACAGTGAACATCGCATATACTAAACATTATATGGAAAAACCATTTAGTGTGGTGTAACATGCAGATTCAATACCGTCTAGTAAATTTCTTTATTTACTGTTATTTACCACTAAAATAGTATCATACAGGTTCCACATTAAGCTCAGTAATTTTATGTTTTATGGCAATCTTACTTCTCACCATAAATGTAAGTTTACTTATAACACTCGTGAAATAAGCTATTGCACGTTATCATTTGCATTGTATTAACTAAATTATATATACAACTAGTTCTAAATCTCAAGATTTTCTTACTTTTATTTTCCCTCAGCAAAAAGCCGCGTTGCTTGGACCAAAAAGTGAAACAGACAAAAGCAAAAAGTGTTTTGTAATTGACTTGGATGAAACTTTGGTGCATAGTTCATTTAAAGTAAATTTATCTTTCATATATATATATATATATATATATATATATATATATATATATATATATATATATATATATATATATATATATATATATATATATATATATATACATATATATATTTAGTTAACTAACGGCTAATTTATCAGTCAGTTCACTATTGAGACGTATATGACTCGTACTTGGTTTAAAGTTCTATTTTTATTTTATACACCAGACTTTTTACAGTCAAGCAAATGACATCAAAGGTAGTTTGGATTGGCATGTTTTACTGTTGATTTTTTTATATGCTTTTTAGTTTCATAGTTTACACTGCTGTTAGTACTCATACAGTAACCCAAACTTACCAACTTCTCGACTACCTAATTGCGTTTATTCGCTTCATGAGGTTCAGGAATTAGAGGACCATTAGTACACTCACGTCCTGAATGAAAACCAACTCGATTTGCGCTTCCTATACTACCTGGGGAAGCCCTTGAGGAGTTGGAAACCTTCACGTACCTAGGCAGTTTCATCGATAAACAGGGATGATCTAATGCCGGCGTAAAGGCAAGGATCGCCCAAACAAGGACAGCATTCCCACGGTTTGAGAACCTATGGAATATCAGACAACTGTCAACGAATATCAAAGAAGCTTCAGTACGAACGTCAGGACAGCTCTGCTATACGGAGCTGAAACTTTAAGAAACACCACATTCATCGTCAAAAGGGTATAGGTATTTATAAACAATTATCTACGTAAGATACTCAATGTCCGTTGACCGGATACCATCAGCAACAACTTAGTGTGAGAGAGAAAAAGCCTACTTCCAACTGAGGAGGAAATTAGGAAAGAACAATGGAGGTGAATAAAACATACATTGTGGAAAGCAGCAAGTTGCATCACATGACAAGCGTCAACCTGGAATCTTGATGTAGAACGGAAAAGATGAAGACCGAATAACACACTGCGTCGGTAAATGGAAGCAGATATGAAAAGGATGAATATGGAAACAACTGTAAAGTATTGTCCATAACAGAGGTGAATGAAGAATGCTGGTGGCCGGCCTCTGCTCAACGAGTGGTAACAGGTGTAAGTAAAGGTAGTACAGAGGTAGCCAATGGGGTCTAGTACCCTAATGATTTTCTCATAAGTTAGGCAATTCTTTTTTAAAACGTGGTGATACCTAACTGAAGTTTGACGAATTAATTCATTCGTATCACTTTTAAGAATGTCGTTGATCCTCTGAACAAACTGTCACCTCTTTTTGCGTCACTCATCGAAGTCATCAATCTTTAGCCCGTTTCAGGCACCAGGTTTCATGATCTTAATAGAGTTTTTGCCATGGTGAATTTGTGCAAATGTTTGTGCTGAACGTCTGCTGGGGTTAACAGATACGCATCAATAGGTTTTAGGGATTCTTATGAGATCCGGTTTTATGGAGAGAGCTTTTTGCCAAACAGCAATCGACAAACTGCTTATTCAATACCTAAAGTTGTGTTGATCTTATCAAGTAGTGCTCATTTTTCCTATTAACGGTTATACATTTTGAGTTAATCTGATTTCATGGGACTTACTGTCTATTGTTTTTTTCTACTTAGGTAATCGAACATGCTGATTTTAAAGTAGGAGTTGAAATAGATGGAGTCACACACCGTGTGTATGTTTTAAAGCGACCACATGTTGACCTCTTCTTGTCGACCATGGCCGATCTATATGAATGCGTACTGTTTACTGCTAGTTTAGCTAAGGTGAATTTTCTATTGAAAATTTGTTCAACTATTTATTCGCTCACGTATTAATATTTTGATCTCCATATTCGCTCTCCATCTACCGTATTTACCAATTATAATAATGATTTTCTATTCAAGTTAGGTCGACAAACATGAATGAACAACATGAACAAAAACAACCTTGGATAATCAATCGAATGGAACGTTAATAAGTACTGAGTGTTCCTATCATTCTATCCAGTCAAACGTATTAGTAAGCCAAACTGTGTAACTTCGTTTGTGGATGAAGTTACTTGGTTCTATGACAGGATATTTGTAATCAAACGTGAAAACTTAGAAAAACGAAGTAGTTATTTTATAGTTCTAGTAAGAAGCTATGACTCGTGTATTCGACTGACTTGATAGTAAGGTGTTTATGCACTGTTGAGATTCGGTCATGATCATAGAGCATCGTAAAGCAACTCAAGTTGGGAACTATGTAGCACTGGTTTGCGATGGCTCAGTGGTATTGTGCTGTATGAGAGCTAAACGTTTTGTATTCAGTTCCATGTATGAACTTACTTATGAATCGCTACCAAGTCTCTAATTAAAGAATACTTGTTCACTATCTCCCCGTTCTCATTGGTTCTCTATCCAGTATCAGTCCTGTGGTAAATTATCTGCAAGTCGATTTTTTCTTCTTACCTCAATAAAGACAAGGAACCATTGTTAGAGGGATAGATACAAAAATGTCTTCATACAGTGGATTTCCTACAGCTATAGGAAATCTGAAGCGAGGGAGAGCAGCAAGCCCTGACAGATTTACTCCTGAGATTTTTAAGGATGATGGTTCAGTATTAGCAATGAGATTAACTGAGGTCTTAGGTAGAATTTGGGAATGACATCTGACTGGTCTCAATCACTGATTGTGCCAGTTTATAAGAAAGGATGAAAGTCCTCTTGTGGCATTCACAGAAGAATCAGTTTGACTAATACAGTGTTTAAAATATTAGCTTCAATAATACTTCGACGCCTAACCAAAGCTCGTGAAGAGCAGACTAGAGAAAATCAGGCTGGTTTTCGACCTGGATGTGGTTGTATAGATCAGATATTCACACTACGTCAGATTCTAGAACACACACACGTTCAGACGCCCCACAATGGTAGTATTTCTTGACCTTAAGGCGGCATTCGACTCTGTTGATCGTGAGGTTCTATGGCAGTGTTTGTCACTGAAAGGAGTACCAAAGAAGTACATTAACCTTATAAAGGCTCTCTACTCGAACACAACTGGTAGAGTGGGAGCCCTTGTGGTCTGGTGTGTGACAAAATACATAAGTATTAGTACAGCTGGGAACCAAAATAATATTCTCCGCACGAGTAAGGAAATGAAATTGTGGAGAAATATAGGGAGGAGAAGGAAGTATAATCAAAACAAATTAGTAAATTAAAATAAATGAACGGGAATCGGTTACAGTAGGATACACAGTATAGTGCATCTAGGAAGAATTCTTCCATTTAAAGTAGTTCCTCACTTATGAACAATTTCAAGGTAAACTACAACCGGATTAGTCCTATACAGCTTTATCTCATACCACGACTCCATTTCATAAACTGACCACCTCTGCCTTTTCCACCCATTTCCAGCGTCCACAAATATTATACTGCGTATGCCACTAGAATGACATTCGTAACACAAGCCGAAGCCACCGAAGCTGATGTTTCAAGTCGGTTGACAGTGACTAAGTTATGGCTGCTGCGCCCAAACCTCAGCATTAGCATAAGCCACCCTCACTTCCATTATGCATAGATTTATATCATTAGCCACACCACCACCAGTACTCGCACAACTACCTAGGTGCACGGACTTTTCGACTACTTCTAAATGGCGGTCACAAAGAGTGAGTGTGGGCAAATGCTACGGTCAGTGTTATAAATGTACCTTGGATTCAAATGGTGCAAATAAATGCTGTACTTGAATGCAATCGGAATTAGACTTATCTCCCGACAGTTTCTGCTCCCACTTCATTACACGAATCTGAAACATTGACTCTTGAACCTTTCTAAATAACCCAATCAGTCCCCTAACCAGAAGTTCACCATTCTATTTAAATAGGAGCCAGGAGTAAGTCGCCTGATCTTGATAACTTGTGATGCTTCAAGAGTTGGAGTTCCTTAAGATCTGCCTCGTCAGGTAGATTAGTCGATGCGGGCCACGAAGAATAGGACCATCCGATCAATATTACTAAAGAATCCTCCATGTACCATAGCACGACCGAGGGTGGGAAGAGTCCGGTTCCACTTTCAAAATCCTCCCCTATGGACACTTTTCTACATCTGTTAGGGAAGCATGTTTTTCAGGGGGGTGAGAGGACTGAAAGCGAACGTCTTACTTTGAACTTAGAGAGAGGATCCACCTAGGGGAGTTGGAGAACTCTGACTCCAATCTGATAGCGCATATGGGCTCCGGGATTTTGAGGGAATGAATGGTGTATGAACTTATGTTTGGTCGTCAGGCACTGTGGGATTCAATCTTCTAACGTTCCGCTCTTACCGTGTGAAGTAAACCCTTTAGTCAAAGGCTTGGGGAGTGTCTCCTCATGAAGATCACCTGCTTCAGTATGTGCACCGTGACAGTATCCCAGCTGCACACAAATATGACAATAAATACTAATAGATGACGGAATACTCGAATTTACCAGTAAAGTCTGTTACGTAAATATTTGTTGGTTTATGTGTACATGTGATAAATTTTATTACTGTTTCTCTTGTTACATAATATTCATTTAGTATGCTGATCCAGTTGCAGACTTCATTGATAAATGGCATGCTTTCCGATACCGCTTATTTAGAGAATCTTGTGTATATCATCGAGGTAATTATGTAAAGGATCTTAGTCACTTAGGCAGACCAATCAACCAAGTTGTTATTTTGGATAATTCACCAGCATCCTATATGTTTCATGCAAGTCATGCAGTAAGCTAAATATAATTTATTAATACCATTATTATATGTCGGTTTTTACTTCTTGTTGATGTTTAACGGAATTTTAATACCAGTGCTTTGGTTCAGATGGTTGTGTTTAGTGGTGCTTTGTTTCCTAAACCAAATGGTCCGAAACGACCATGCAGGATTCTCAATTAAGCCATCCAGCTCAAAGAAATTAATACCAGAGAAGGCAATAGTGTTTTGGTCCACGTGCTACTTACGGTATAATTTTAGTCAGTATTTATACGATGAATATTACTTACGAACTATATTAGGATTAATATTTTACGCACATGCATTTAAAAATTTCTATTATATTTGGTAATGGGCATTATTATCACTTCCTAAACGTTTTATAACTATACTTATGAAAGTAGTTATTTAATCTTAACTTATCTAAAATTGGTGTCTTTAGTTCAGCGGCTATCTACTGTGAAATAAAATACACTGCCTGATGGTTCATTTTATTATGTGACTGCTAAACACTTGCCACATGAAGTGTAGTTCGAGCAGCTAACTTCCTGGTCATTAACAAATCTCTTAAATAGAAGAATTTTAGAAATACTTGGAGTATTTGACGTTTTGATCGTGTTAGGTTGACAAGGTAGAGAGTCTTTTAGGCATTATAAACAAAATTCTGCAGCATTCGAAATGTTAAACATTCTGCTTTACTCTGGAGACAACTTTGGCTTTTGATTATTTGTAGTACATAATTAGCTGTATCAACATCAGGATTTGGCTGACTGAAAAGACTTTCATATAACTGTAAGTAAATCCCAATGATTTTCTGTCCCTAATGAAGCTGTTGCTGTTTAGTGTTTGTTTATAGAATGTTATGTCGCTTATTAGTTCTCTCAGTTGCTTTGAGTTTTGATTTTTATATGAACAGATGATCGTAGAGTTTCATCGAAGGTGGTTTCAAATTTTTCTTACGGTTGTTGAGGATTATAAGTTGAGGCAACGTGAGTTTGCTTTGTGTTAACCAGTCGGATAAATAATCACTGATGGTTTAAGCTATGTACTACACTACATATTTCACGATCAGTATCTTCAAAACGCTTAAAATCAGTGAGTGGAAACTCTTAACATTATATAAATAAGAATCTGTCATAGACTATGCTTTGACGTTTTATATTTTTCCAAGATAGGTTATCGTTTCGTCTGTTTCTTTCTGCAGTTGTGCTGAAGCTCTCCTTTAGATTAACCAGCCAGTTGTACGATATATCTGCTTAAGTAAGTAAATTCTTTGGGAAACCAACGCATATTGATGGCAGTATTATTTAAGCTGAGGCAGCACTAGTCGATTGGATCCCCATTAACAGTCGGTTATGTGCTGTTAGATTAGAAAGTTCCATCAAAGTGAGAAGAAATCGGCGTGAGAAACGATGTCTTTTCGTCATCTCCGCCTATGCCCCGACAGATTGCAGCCCGGATGCAATCAAGGATGAGTTTTACCACCAGCTGTCTGTTCTTCTCCAGAAAGTGCGTTCGACAGATATTGTAGTACTAGCCGGAGACTTGAATGCGCAGGTCGGGCGTCTAGGCACAGAAGAGAGTCGTTTAGGTGGCCGATGGGGACTCGTTGGTCGCAGGTCAGATAACGGGGACCGTCTACTGCAACTTTGCACAGACCACAACCTGTTTCTGGCTAGCACTAACTTTCGGCACAGTCATCGCCGATGTGCCACCTGGCGTCCTCCCTCTGCATCCCAAGCCTGGACTCAGATTGATCACATCGCGATCAGCTACCGCTGGCGTGGTTGTGTACAAGACTGCCGCTCCTTTTGGAGTACCTATCTGGACTCTGACCATGCCTTGGTCTGCGCCAATCTTGCCTTACTTTTCAGTGGACAACGAAGTGACCACCACCAAAGGATTGATATTAGCAAGCTGGCTGCAACCTCTGTTGCAAATAAGTATCGAACCGAGCTAGCTTCTAGGCTAGCTACCACTCCACCGAAAAGTATAGATGAGCATTGGTTGCAATTGCATGACGCCATGAAAATGGCGGGAACAGTCAGTTGTGGGTTTGCGAAACGTCCCGCTTATAAGCACTGGGTTTCTTCTGGTTCCTTACAACTTATTGAAGCCCGTCGGTCGACTCCGGGTGACCGTGAGTTTGACCATAAACGAAGGATGTTACGTAGGGAAATTGGGCAAAGCTTGCGTAAGGACCGAGAAGCCTGGTGGTCGGAGCGTGCTAATGAGATGGAAGCAGCAGCTGCATCTGGTAACTACCGGAAGCTCTTCCAGCTCATCCGAGCCACTGGCAGCAAGAAGTCTGGTGTGAGTGAAACAATCTGCGAGGATGATGGGATGCCAATCACTAACATCCATCGACGTCTTGGACGATGGGCAGAATTTTTCGAAGGGCAGTTCAACTGGCCTGCTGCTCCGGCAACATCGGTCAGACTGTCCTGCCCTCCATGGCCGGTGACGACTGATCCACCGAACGAGGAGGAAGTCCGCAAGGAACTCCAACTCTTGAAGCGTTACAAATCACCTGGCCCAGATGACTTACCTCCGGCTCTTATTAAAGATGGTGGTGACTTTTTGACTAAGGAATTGACGACGTTGTTTACAAAGGTTTGGGAATTAGAGAGTGTACCAACGTCATGGAATGAGTCGATAGTTGTCCCTATCTTTAAAAAGGGTTCACGTCGTTCCTGCAACAACTATCGGGGGATAAGTCTACTTCCGATCGCGTCCAAGCTATTGGCTTCCGTCATACTTCGTAGGTTGTTCAAAACCCGAGAAAGATTGACTCGCGAGGAACAGGCTGGGTTTCGTTCTGGTCGAGGTTGTATTGATCATATCTTCACCCTCCGCCAAATGTTAGAACATCGCCATACTTATCAAAGGCCAACAATCGTAGTGTTTCTTGACATCAGGGCTGCCTTCGATTCGTTGGACAGGACTGTTCTCTGGGATTGTCTATTGAAGAAGGGTGTGCCTGAAAAGTTTATTAACATCCTAAAAGCCCTATATAAAAACACCTCAGGCAGAGTGAGGGCATACAACCACCTCTCTCCATTGTTCTATACGAGTAGTGGGGTTAGGCAGGGTTGCCCAATCTCACCATTCCTCTTCAACTTTGCCATCGATGACATTCTGGAAACAGCTCTGATGAATGTAAGTAATGGTGGTGTGGATCTGTTGCCTGGAGAAAGACTTCTCGACCTTGAGTATGCGGACGATATTGTCTTACTGTGCGATAATGCCCAAGGCATGCAATCCGCACTTAATCAGTTGGCAATCAGTGTCCGTAGGTATGGTATGTGTTTTGCACCTTCGAAGTGCAAAGTACTTCTACAAGACTGGCAGGATTCCAATCCTGTACTCACCCTGGATGGTGAGCAGATAGAAGTAGTCGAGAAGTTCGTGTATCTGGGTAGCTGCATAAGTGCTGGTGGGGGTGTGAGTGATGAGATCAATGCACGTATAGTGAAAGCCAGAGCGGCTTATGCCAATCTGGGCCACCTTTGGCGCCTTCGTGATGTTAGTCTGGCTGTAAAAGGTCGGATCTACAACGCGTCGGTGAGAGCAGTTTTGCTCTATGGTTGTGAAACCTGGCCTCTCCGAGTTGAGGACGTTAGACGACTCTCTGTGTTCGATCATCGCTGTCTCCGAAGGATTGCTGACATTCAGTGGCAACACCATGTTAGTAATGCAGAGGTTCGGCATCGTGTGTTCGGCCACAGAGATGATAATTCAATTGGTGTCACCATCTTGAAACACCGACTTCGGTGGCTTGGACATGTTCTACGAATGTCGTCCCAGAGAATTCCACGTCGTGCATTGTTTGCCGACTCTGGGACTGGTTGGAAAAAGCGGAGAGGTGGTCAGTGCATGACATGGTGTCGTGGTATGAAAGAAAGCTGCAAAGGACTGGCTTCTGTTGGTCCTTCACGACTCCCTGGTTGGGGTCTGAGAGATGGTGCTACACAGTGGCTAGAGACGTTATCAGATATGGCTCAGAATAGAAGCCAGTGGCGATCCTGCTGTAACCTTCTTTTACTTTCTTCATAAAGTGGTTGTGTCTCCCTTACTTGAAAGATTTCTTCCGATTGTACCTTTCCGTTCCATCGTTACGACCGCACTACCTTTCACCAATCTCTTTGTTATCGTTCTCTTTTTCTTTTGTGCTCCTTAGTTTTTTTTTTCTTTTCTCTCTTCGAATTTTCATTGTTTTGTGTGGCGCATATATATTGGCGCTCTCTTGTACCAATATTTATGTGCTCAAATAAATAATAAATAAATAAATAAAATTTAAGCAGAGGCACTGAGCACTTTAGGATTAACAAATTTAAATAATGATTTATTTGAGATTTTCTAGTTTTCCCGTTAGACGTAAACAAAAGTAGCTATGCTTCTATTTTCAAACTTTAACATTCGTATTTAGTCCATCGTTTCCGAGCTCTTTTTAGGTGTTCTGTGGTTACGGGTACTAGAATGATTAAAACTTTAGAGCCTGTTCTGATATTTCCAAGGATGGTTACTGGAACAGTTAAGCGACTTGTTTTTAAGTTACTCTTCGTTCATGTACTCTACTTTAAACTTTAATTAGTGGTTCTAGATTATAATTCAAAAATTTTTAATAACAAACTCATCTAGTTAATATATTTTTTGTTACCTCGAACTTGCCATACTCTTGTTGATTTTTAGCACTCATACTAGCGTCTTATGGGTTTAAAAATCGTTAACTAACAATGGGAGGGTCATTATTAACTAGTTAGATTGTTCTTTACAATGTTCCATTTTTCTTTCCAGATATTAGTTCGTATAAATCATAGACCTATTTCTTGTTGATGAGGGAGTTCAACCAACCGTTTGTGGTGATTGTAAAACGAAATTCGTATTCGAAAAATGTCTAGTTAGTCCAGTAACATAAATTGCTCTCATTTGAACGATATTAAGACGAAAATTACTCAAAATAAAGGGAACTTAGAGAGTGCATTCATCTTCAGCACTGTGATCGCACTTGCTCTATTTAATCTATCTTGTTCATTTATGTTGCACTGATGAGAGTCAATGTTTAATTTTTTTTGAGATATATTTAGTATGTATCACCAGGAACTTGAAATCCTAAGAACTGTATAGTCGTTCCTCATAAATTCCTTCTTTGCTGTTTTGTATGATGAAATCTATTTTTCTGTTATTTTTTTGTTTGTATTGTTATTTCTCAGTAAGTTTTTCAAAAGCTATCTCTTTCATCATCATACAGGTTCAGATCTCATCATGGTTTGATGACGCGAACGATCGTGTTCTACTTGATTTGATTCCTTATTTTGAAAAACTTGCAACACAACCTAATGTGGTTGATTTTCTAAAAAACAATATTCCTCCTACGCCTTATGCTGCTATCGGTACAATTGGTCTACCTCCAGGACTTTTTACACATGCAACATTCCCGGCTACTACTTCTACTGGTAGTGGTAAATCCCATGACGCCAGTTCAATAATCTCAAATATAAGATGTCCAAATGTTTCTTCTCCACTACCTGTATCCATTGGAGATAATCACCCACAAGTTTCGAAAGAATCATCTACAACCTTGACTGTATCAATATCTGCTGAGAACAAAACACAATACCTAACTAGTACGGATGCTGTTGCTGTAGTTACTAAATTAGATCCTACAGAAGTTAGTGATCCTTCACTGAATCCTGTATTAAAAAATAATGAGAAATCAAGTTTTTCAGCTCCTTTATCCTTAACACCTTATGTCCCTGTCACTTCATCATCTTCAAGTGTTTCAACAACAAAAACATTAACTAACAATTCTGTTCAAACAGTTGTATCTGTTTCAAATGTGTTCACATCTGATGAAATTACACAACCTCAAACCTCTGCATCTCCAGGAATTTCATCTTTGTCCTTAACAAATAAATTGGCTCACATTCCATCTACAAAATACTCAGTTCAGAGTTTATCCATGGGACATAAAACTTTATTAGGTACATACCAAAAGAAACAAAATCCTTCAAATAAACTATTCGGTACTGTTTCAAATTGTTTCAAACCTACCCCTCATATCCAATCAATTGAAAATCATCATTCATCATCACCAAATAAATTAATTACACCTATTCCATTGCCAATTGTCACATCTTCTACCTCTTCTGGTTCATCGACAGTAAATGTAACACATTCATCTACTAGTGATTTTACTCCAAAAATCAATCATTCTATTAAGAATCAATAATATTGTATTATTACCACTGTAATACGTTTTATTTTTTGTTAATCCTTGTGCCAAAATATGAATATCAATTTTGTTATTAATTTAATAATCATTATAATAGTACATCAGAATAACTCAATTGATAGTTTCATATTTTGAAAATTATTGTTTTCCCTATGAGGCAATTAATTAAAAAAAGAAGAAGATATGGACAAGTGAATTTACTAATGCATTATGTGTAATAAAAATTATATGTTGCCAATTCTTTCTGCTCAATCAAAAATATTAATAGTGTTTCTTCAAATGCTTCTAGTTCTACTAAGAATATTTTAATTCCTTTACTGTTTATACATGTAAATTTACACATCTATATTGTATATATATATATATGCAATGTTTTATGTATGTATTCATGTATACATGAAGAAAAACACAGTAAACATGTTATCATTTCTCTTATTTGTACTTCCGTCTAAATTGATTTCTTCATTGAAGAATAAGCTTCCATATAAATCTATTTGTTAGTATAATGTAATGAATATGTATAGTTATTCTTTGCTTGTTTCGTGTTTTATCCGACATTTCACTTACATTTTTCACACCAATAAAATAATTATTTGGATATTTGTTCAAATCCATCTTTCGATATATATATATATATATATATATATATATATATATATATATATGACAATTGTGCAATACTACTAATGAAGATATATCTTCTTTTTTTTTCTGTTTTCGTACTTTTTAAACATTTTTTTGTTTCCTATAATAAAATCAGTCGTTATTTGTGTGATCTGCCTTTGTTTGACTTTTTGTTTTACTCTATTTCATTTTATTCTCATTCACAAATAACACCATTAATTTCAGCAGATAAGTTTTATTTCATTTCGCTCAAGGTGCAATATATATATATATATATATATATATATATATATATATATATATATATATATGCATGCTTAGGGCGTTAATTTCCCTACATACCATTTCTTAAAACCTTTTTACTCTGAATTATCGTAACATTTCCCATTCATTTTTTTTTCATATCTTTATTATTCGTTACCTTTTTCCCGTCCCGGTCTGTATGTAATTGATTATTGCCTCCATCTATTTCATTTACATTGATCTGGAATTTATGGACAACCCATTTTAAACTTTTAAGTTTTGGGCTATTTTATTTATTAGTTAAAATAGAGAGAACAATCAGCTTAATCAGATGTATACACACATATATTTTATTTATATACATATATATATATATATTTTGTGATTATTTGACACAATTATTATCTTCCTTTTATTCATTTACATTCATTCTACGCTTACATATATATCAAACTGTATATATGAAATTGTTCATTTACGACTTCGATTTCAGATTTTCACCTTTGTCTTAAACGCAGATTGAGTAACGCACAATACTCTTGTAGCATATACATGAATTTAAGTGTTTCTTTTTTTTCTTCAAAGATTGGACCAGTCAGAATGAGGTTGTACATGTCTACATCTGTATGTATTGGTGCCTTTTAATTGTATTCTAATGGAAAGAAAAAATTGAATGAACAATAAATTGTGCTATTGTATAATTTATTATTTTCTTATCGTTGAAACAGTTCCAAGTTTTAGTGATTCTCAGTTATTGGGTACAGATTCTTTTACTGAGTTTTAACGTATGATGTTTTGTTGAGGCTTAGTGATAATCTTCGCTTGCAAATATCGAGGTAACTGGAGAGGGCTGCAACCATGCAATAGGTAAAGTCGAATGCGCCAACAATTGAGCCATCCCCTCATAATACGTATCTTTAGTGTAATCTTCGTGATTTTTAAGCAAGGATGGATAGTGGCTAGAAGTAGGATTCAGGATGCGCGTCTTGTCCTATTTGGGACTCGTCAGCTGGATATGCCTTCATCCCATCATCTTCCTGATTTGTTGGGTTTTTCTTGTCTTTCATTCATTGAATAATTGTTTCCTATATGTTGGGTGTTTATCTGAAATGCTTATTATTTCATTTCACTTTTCGTTTCAGTATTTTCTTTCCAATCAACTGAGTATGTTTAATTATTTCCTACTAGTATCCTGTTTTTCGATCGAAGTAACTACATTGGATTTCTTATACCTAATCATTTTTTTTTGAGGGAGAATACAAGTGAACTTTAGTTCTGGTTATGTTTTATGTTGACTTAAGGACTTAAGATGAATTGTTGAAGAGTCTTGTTGTTTTATATGCTCCTCATTTTTATTTTCTCACCTTGAATGAAACTTTATATTAGAAATCATCTTGATAGTGGTTATATATAATTTACTTATTATGAACTTATTTGATTATTAGTGCTTTGAAACTCATCTGATTTAAGATTTCTTAGTTAACATGGTTACTATGACTTGACATGAAGGCTTTAATAGTGTGTAATCTAGTCGCTGTCTATGATTATCGTTTGTACGTTATGTTTTTTTTGGTAGTTATATGATGTAACAATAATCAATTCAATTAATCTCGTAAGTCGTACTTGACTTCTACATTTTAATGGTGGTAGTTTACATATTATACTCCACTATAATTCATCAGTTTGTTGAATATTTTCATGTATAATTTATCATTTATTTACAATTGTACTATTAATGATACATGCAAAGTTGAATTTGTCATATTCAGTTCAGTTGTATAAAATGAAGTTTTATTAATTGAAAGTGTATATTAGTGTACATTGATATAATTATATGCAAAAGTCAATGGAAACGATATATATTTATTGCGATAAACAAACTAATCCACATTTTTATGTTCAGTATTAAATATTTAATTGTACATGAAATAAAGCATCCACATTATTCTAACCGTAATGCATAAGTAATATGTACGTTTCAAAATAAAATGGAAAAATGTTCATATATATTAGTTGATAAGTAAAATACAAATATAATTTCCTAAACACCATTTTATGACCGTAAAACAAAGTAATCTCAAATTAAACTTTGTTAATAAAGTACTTTCACTGTTTATAGAAAGCATTAAAGATTGTGAGGAATTACATATTACATAGCCATTGTTATTTTGGAATTACTAGGTGATATCAACAAAATATTAGTCAATAATAATATTACTGGGATACATGCCAAATGGTTTGCGAGAGAATAATTTATTTGACTGTGTATTAAATAACTTGACTTGAAATAAAATAGAACGGTTAAATGCAACATTATCAAAGGAAATAAGTATTTGGATGGAGTTTTGTTCTCTGAGCTGGATGATTTGGTCGTGGAGCTTTCATCGTTCTTCTGAACGACATCAGCAGAAACTTCAGATAGAACTGAAGTGTTAGAATTTCTCCATATACGTTTAACAGCTTAATCCGTACACCTCGACGTTGATTGGTTCTTATTGACCTTAAATTTGTCATCGTTTACTTCTTTTCAGTAGTAGAAGTAAAGAATAACAAATTTAAGGTCAATAAGAACTAATCAACGTCGAGGTGTACAGAACAAGCTGTGAAACGTATATGGAGAAATTAGACGATTTGGACTTCGCAGATGACCTAGCTCTCTTATCCCATACACACGAGCAAATGCAGATAAAGATAGTCAGTGTAGCATCAGCCACTGCATCAGTAGGCCTCAATATACACAAGGGGAAAACCAAGGTCCTCAAATACAACACGGAGAACAGCGATCCAATCACTCTTGATGGCGAAACTCTGGAAGATGTAGAATCCTTCACATACCTGAGAAACATGATCGATGAATAAGGGGGTTCAGATGCAGACGTAAAGGCGAAGATTGACAAAGCAAGGATAGCATTCCTACAATTGATGAAAATATGGAACTCAAAACAAATGACTGCAAGCCAATATCAAAGTGAGAATCTTCAATACCAACGTCAAGATAGTCAGTTCTTCTGTACGGAGCTGGAACGTGGAGAACTACAACAACCACCATCAACAACTTGCAAGTATTTAAAACCATTGTCTACGTAATATACTCGATATTCGTTGGCCGGATACCATCAGCAACGGCCTACTGTGGGAGAAAACAAACCAGCTTCCAACTGAGGAGAAAATCAGGAAAAGACGTTGGAAGTGAATAGGACATGCATTTCAGAAATCACCAAACTACATCGTGAGACAAGCCCTAAATTAGGATCCATAATGGAAACGGAAAAGAGAAAAACCGAGGAACACTACGTCGGGAATAAGAAGCAGTCATCAGAAGGATGAATAGCAACTGGAAAGGATTGCTCAGGATTGGGCTGGATGGCGAGTGTTGGTGGCCGGCCTATGCTCCTCCACTAGGAGTAACAGGCGTAAGTAAGTAAGCAACATTATACGTTAAGTCATATATACACGTGTACATACAAATATACTGCTACACATAATAATCAAATCTGCCCATCAGTTTAAACCCAAATAATGAATCGTTATATACAGTAACAGAATAAAAGTTCATTGAAAACACTGGTGAAAATACCATGACCTAAGATTATCAAAAGCAAATGCGAATCATTAAAGTACAGATAGTAAAATAAAAAGAACATGCAAAACTTTTTTGAGTATGCATCCATTTATTAATCTATCTGTCTATCTATCTATTTTAATTTTGACCCCTTTTTTAATTACCTATATAATTTAGCACTTCTTTTATTCATGAATGAAACCTTAACTTCTTTTCATCGAATTATTTCTTTGTGAATTATTATTCTTTAATTACCTCTTTTTTTTAAATGCCTTTCTTCTTTGATCTGTTTTACCAATGATTCATTTTGACTTGAACACATTCAGTACAATAAACTTATCAGGATGGATAAATGTTAATTTTTGTATATAGTTATCTTTTTTATTGACTATTATGTCAAAAATAACTACAAATGGCAATGATTTATTTATTTTAAAAGTTAGTGCCAAATCACATGTATGTTAATGTAAGGAAGAAATAAATTATATATCAATTATTGTCACTAAAAATCCATTATGAAATGAAAATTTAAGTTAGAAATTTGAAGTACTTGAATCATGAACCAATTTAAGGATGAATATATTAATTACTTACTGTCTTACGTTTGTTACTTACTTACTTACGCCTGTTACTCCTCGTGAAGGAGCATAGGCCGCTCACCAGCATTCTCCAACCAACCCTGTCCTGGGCAATCCTTTCTAGCTCCGTCCAGTTGTAATTCATCGTTTTCATATCTGCTTCTATTATCTGTTTGTTAGTCCTTGTGAAACATAGGTGACCGATTAGAATTCTTCATTGAACTCTTTCCTTAATAATCCTTTCCAGCTGCTATTCATTCTTTTTCTGTCTGCTTCCAATTCCGTATGCAATATGTTCTTTGGTCGTCCTCCTTTTCTTTTCCTTTCAGCATTCTATGTTATGTCTTACTTCGTGATACAGTTTGATGATTTCCGTAGTGTATATTCTATTCACCTCTACCGTCTCAGCTTAATTTGTCTTGTCATAGTAGGTTGTCGCTGATGATGTTTAATCAATCGACCAGAGTATCTAGCGAAGACAACTTTTTTATGAACACCTGTACTTTTTTGATGATGGTTGTTATAGTTCTCCAAGTTTCAGCTCCATAAAACAGAAGTGGTTTACTTTTGTATTTATGTGCGTTGGGACCTACTGATCCAAAGAA